AGAGTTAGAAAGGTACAGATCCATGTACAATGCAACAAATACAGTGAGGCAAAGAGGCTGGGAGATGGGAAGTGAAGCAAGTTATGATCATGCCTCAGAGTTCCCAGGGAGACTGAAGAAGAGAGAGGAGAAAATGGGAGGAGATGGAAAAACAAGGAAAAAAGAGGGGAGGGAAGGAAAAAGAGAGGAGAGGAGAGAGGAGAAAGAGAAAGGAGAGAGAAGAGAGAGAGAGGAGAGAAGAGGAAACCTGTTATCTATTTTATTTTATTTTTTTTGGGGTCTGGTCATGGGGCCTGACCTCTGGGCCTGGGCACTGTCCCTCAGCTCTTCAGCTCAAGGCTAGCACTCTACCACTTGAGCCACAGCGCCACTTCGGGCTTTTTTTTTTGTTTGCTTATGTGGTGCTGAGGAATCGAACCCAGGGCCTCAGGCATGCAAGGCAAGCGCTCTACCACTGAGTCACCTTCCCAGCCCCTGTTCTCTATTTTAGAATCTATCAATCTGTGGTCTTCCTTTGGAAAACAAGAGGTAGAACTAATGTGAAGATAATATTTTTTTAAATAGGAACTTTTTTTTTTTTTTTTTTTTTGCCAGTTGTGGGGCCTGACCTCTGGGCCTGGGTACTGTCCCTCAGCTCTTCAGTTCAAGGCTGTCATTCTACAACTTGAGCCACAGTGCTACTTCCGGCTTTTTTTTCCCCTTCTGTTTATGTGGTGCTAAGGAATCGAACCCAGGGCCTTATGTATACAAGGCAAGCCCTCTACCACTGAGCCACCTTCCCAGCCCAATAGGAACTCTTAATCTTCTCTTTTCATCCATTCTAGTCAAATAAATGTACTTATCTCCTTAAGATAAGTGGCAAAGTTGAAAGTCCCTACTCTCCTGCTTCAGGGTTTAAAACATCTACACCCTTTAAGGAAGACAGTGCTAGGTACTTGTGGGTAATTGGTATGGCAGATGGGCATAGTGACATAAAAACAAGGGAAATGGGCACCAGTGGCTCATGCCAGTAATCCTACTTAGCAGGATGAGAGCTGAATATCACAATTCTAAGCCAGCACGTGCAGACAAATCCAAAAATCTAAGAGCTTCTTCTACCAGCAAAAAACCTGAAGTGTAGGAGGGGTTCAAGTTTAAGCCCCAATACTGCATTAAAAAGAAAAAAAGTCAAGGATGTGTTGGTGTAGCCCAGGAGTAAAATGTATCCTCAGCAGGTGCAAAGCCCTAGTCTCATCCTCAGCACTGCAAAATCAAGTGTAATAGTCATAGGAAAGCTCCTGGGAGGTGGTGTAGAGGCTGGGTTCTAGATCAGAGTTGCTGCCCAGACAGGAACTCTCTGCTGAGGTTTCTGTGTAAAAAGATGTGAGCAAGGAAGGGACCATGAGAACATTTAGGGGAGAGTGATCCAGGCAGAAGTGAGGGCAGCCTCCAAGGCTGAAACTTGGTAATTCTGAATTTGAAAGTTGGGACAAGTTAGCTAGCAACAATTGTTCTTGATTTGAGGATTATCAGGGAAGGCAGCATGGGCATTGAAGAGTGAGCAAGGAGAGACTGGCATAAAATGTCAGACATATGCAGCCATGTGACAGAAATGTGGCAGAGATGTGGTGCCTGAGAGTAGCCCACTGTTCCATCCTTGAGGTTTTGAGCAGGTAAGTGACTTGATTCAACCTAATTTTCAAGGTAATTATCTGGCTGATATAGGGAAGCAATAACAACAGCACAAGTGTGGAGACAAGCAAGGAGGTTATTGCAATAATACAGAGGACAGATAAGTGATGGTTAGGGCCAGGGTAGGATTGTTTCTGAGGCTGAACCAACAAGACTCACTGATGATTTGGATGGGGAGTATGAGCGAAAAGAAGTCAGAGCTGAGTCTATGAGTGTTTAGTTGAGGCACCAGAATGATGCTACCAGGTGTGAAGCTGGGAAGACTGAAAAGAATAGGGGAAAAGTCATTACTTTACTTTTCGAACGTGTGATACCTATTATATCCAATTGGCAATAGAAACCATTGGGTATATAATTCTGGGGTTAGGGAGCAGTTCTGAAGTAGAGGTGTAAATGTGAAATTATCATTATATATGTGGCATTTACAACTCTGAAGCAGCATTAAGTCCCGAGAGTGAGACTAGTTTAGGTTGAAAAAAAAAGAACTCCAATAAATCTAGCTAGTTTATACAGATCAGGTTGCTAATGTGGAACTAGTCAGAAAGACAGGAAGTGGTATCAGTGAGGATAAGCAAGGGTTATATAAGACATTAGGTAAAAGCATGAAAACTTTCTATAAGGAAAAGGCAGGTTGAACACAGGAAATCAACACTTCCCTGAAGTAATTAGAATATGGGGTTATAAGTCAAAGTAAGCACAAATGTATGCCTGGCTATGGAAACTGCACTTTTAGTTCTGGGTCAGAGTTAGTAGGAAGTTTTAAGTAGACTAGTGACACTCTCCAATTTTCTTTTAGTGGAATCTCTGTAGCAGTACTATACAAGGTAAGTCTTTGTTAGGAAGAGGGATAGTAGAAAGCATTGTAGAAGAAGGGAGACTAAGAAACTATGGCCAGAGAGCACAGAAAGGAAAACAATAGGTGGATCTTGGTAGACAAGAGACCCACAGATCAATGCTACACTTTAGAATTTAAAAGTGTTGGGAGCCCGTTCTCCAAGGAGGCACTTTGGAGGTAGTGGAAATTGGGGGAAGGTCTTTAGGTCCCTGGGAGTGTGTCTTTGAGAGGGAATTTTAAAACCACAGTCACTTCCTCTTCCTCTCCTTGTAGCCCAGCCATGAAGCAAGCAGTTTTGCTCTACCCACACTTCTTCCAATATGTGCTGCTTCACCACTGACCCAAAGCAACTGAGCCAGTCAGACAATAGACTAGGACCTTTAAACTGTAGTAACTTTTTTTTTTAACAGCACTGGGGCTTGAACTTAAGGCTGGGCTGCTCTACCACTTGAGCCACATCTCTACTTCCAAAAGAACTTTGTGTGCATGTGCATGCATACACATACACCAGCACTAGGGCTTGAACTCAGCCTCATATTCTTGCTTGGCTTTTTTGTTAACAGCTAGTACTCTACCACTGGATCCATGTCTCCAACCCAGCTTTTTTGCTGGTTATTTGGAGATAGAACCTCATGGATTTATCTGCCTGAGCTGGATTCAAACTTCAATAATCAGATCTCAACCTTCTGGGTAGCTAGGACTACAGATGTGACCAACCAGCATCTCACTTTTTTAAAAACAGATATTTAGAGACAAAAACATTCTAAAGCCAAATGCTTTCTATACTTTATAAAATTCAACTTCTGGCATATACTAACCTATTTCTGTCACATGAGAATGAGGGGTTCCCAAAGCTTCTCAGTTTTCAGAACTACTTAGGAAAAGCATTTCAGGAATTCTCATTGGGGAAAAAGAAAAAGAGTCTCACAAGAGGCAAATTTTAGAAAGGATTTATTTTAGTATATCAGGGTTAAAGTAGAAACAAACGTTTCCTGCTCCCCAGGCAGAAAACATGAGTCATGAAAGACCCATTTCCAAATATTGTGTGTATGCGTGTGCAGGCATGACTGTACATACAGTCATGTATGTACATATGTATGTGTGCAGGCATGCGTGCGCCGTCGAGGGGCTTATCACCAGGCACTGTCCCTGAGCTTTTTTCTCTCAAGGCTAGCCACAGCTCAACTTCCAGCTTTTCTTGTGATTCGCTGAAGATTAAGAGGCTAACAGACTTTCCTGCCTGGGCTGCTTCAAACCTCAATCATCAGATCTCAGCCTCTTGAATAGGTAGGATTACAGGCATGAGCCATCAGTGCCCGGCTCCCAATTCCAATTATTTTAACTCTACTTATTTATAGTAAGGAGTCCCAATTCTTTTTTTTTTCTTTTTGGTTGGTAGTGGGGCTTGAACTCTGGGCTTGGGTGCTGTCCTTGTGCTCTTCAGCTCAAGGCGAGTGCTCTACTGCTTGAGCCACAGTGCCACTTCTGGCTTTCTAGTGGTTTACTGGAGATAACAGTCTCACGGACTTTCCTGCCCGGGCTGGCTTTGAACCACGATCCTCAGATTTCAGCCTCCTGAGTAGCTAGGATTAGATGTGAGCCACCGGCGCCCAGCTCAGAGCCCCAATTCTTGACTTTTCACTTTGCCAATCAATTAGAATAGTTCAGCACAATCTTCTAAGCTGTTTGGTAATGTCATTTTCTTACTCAAAACTCTTCTGCGGATTCTCAAATGACTATAACAGAAGTTCACAGCCCTCTCAGTCCAGCATTCACTCCTTCCCCAATCTAACCCCACCCCAGTCTTTAAGGTCTTGTTTCCACTTGTGTCCACTCCAGGGATTCTAAAACCATTCTTTCTCATAAAGCATGGAAGAGTTATATGGTAAAATGACATTGGATCTGTACAGTGACTTAAGAATTTATATAAAGTTAGGCCAGTTTTTTTAATATAAAGCTTTTCAGTGTATACAGTATAAATATCTAAGAAGCAATTAAAACATGAAACATTTCCAAAACTTACTTGATGCCTCATGTCATCTCCATGGCAGCCACTCTGAAATTTGTTGGCTTCAGATCAGATTTCTTCTATAAAACTCCCTACTTGAGCTTTTTTGTTACCTATGTGTGTATCCTATAATATATAAACATATATGCTTTATACATGTATTTAAAGTTTTGTAGAATGTTGGAAGTAATTATAGTCATCTAGGCACTATTCAATTTTGCAAAGTCTTCCATTATATTGGCTATTGTAGAAATAGACTATGGAACCCATATTGGCTATTGTAGAAATAGACTATGGAACCCAGAATACATGTTCATGTCACGTTACAAAACATAGAAACTATTTGTAAGATAAATTGATTTAATAATACTGTTAGCTGACAGGAGAGGCAGGAATACCCCATCCTATACCACACACACACACACACACACACACACACACACACACACACACACACAGGAGAGGCAGGAATACCCCATCCTATACCACACACACACACACACACACACACGTATTTGACAGGGATAACTCTGCTTAAAGTGGTCAGGTCAGAAGTTGATATACACATTTTCTGGCTTTTTTTCCCTCCATGATATATGACTTCCAGGTAATCTTTGGATCTCAAATATAAGTAGCTTCTATTCCACTCTGGCTTTGGGGAGTCACTCAGTGGTTGACAGGACCAGAGTCATTGGGGAGCTTGGCACCACCAAAACATATCTAAACATTGCTAAATGGCCACCAGCATGGTAAGTCAACACACAATTTAGCAGCGGTGAAATGAGAAAAGGGCAAGAGGAGGAAGCCATGCCAAACCTATGATTAAAATGTCTATTTAGGAGGATGGATCCAGATGAAACCATGGCCATTAGGTGAGAGAAGACAGGTGTATCAAGGCTTCTCTGGAGGTCTAAAGAGGTCAGGAGAGGACAGGTTGGCTACAAGTGCTGTGCAGACATTGTCCAGAAACATTCAAGTGAGACATCAATCCAGTAGTCTATGTGGCAAACAGTACTCTGAGCACTCTTTTTCACAGAAGAGAATTCAGCTGCTGAGGCTATTTCCATGAAGACTCATAGCCGGCACTGGCATCTGCTGGGCCTCAGTGGAGTCTTGCCAAGGGTGGATAAGGACTAGCAACATCTGCTGAGGGCCACACCTACGGTCCAGGGTGAGCATCACAGCTGCATGGGGAGTGAGCTCTCCACTTAGGTGAGGATCAGCGGGACACCATCATAACAGCAGCCACTGGACAACCCCAGTCACAAGGCCTGTTCCATGCCACTCTGTTCTTCATCCTCCATCTGTAACCAGCTCCAGTCTAGACTCTGAAAGTCAACAGGTATATTAAAAGTTCAGCAGCTACCATGCACCTCAGACTGTCTTTGCAGGAAGCAACCAGCATACTTGAAAAGTCAATTTAAACCCATTTAATTGCATCAGGGCACCCTTGAGCAGAGTCAAATACATACTCAAAACCAGGCAGGGTGTTTCTATTAGTTGGATTCAGAATACCTGGAATTCTGTGACTGGGAAACTTGAAAGCCATTTTTTGTACTACTTGTGGCTCACAGCATTTCTGTACATGCTCAAGTAGGCAAGTGGTATGGATCAACTACAGATTCTAACCTCAGCAGAAATGCTCTGGTGAGACTTCCTCCTCCTATGGTGTAAGTTTGATTACACAGTGAGATGATCAGACAGTAACAAAAAGAAAACAACAGAGAATGGATGGACAATTCCCACACATAACCAGAGATGACTGAAAGTGGCAGGAGTGCCCTCTGCCTTTTCTCCAAAGTTAGAAGTCAGGAGGTCAGCTAGCACAGGATTCTATTTGCAGAAAAATGCCATTTAAACATTTAAACGAACAATTTAGGATCCTCTTAGCAATTTAAACTTACTTTTACATACCCATCTCTGGCTAGGTTTTCTTCCTCCACTTTCCTGTTACTAGTGCTGCTCTAGTGACTGCTAAGCTCTGAGTCTTTGAAGTACAGGATCACAACCAACTCCATCCAACACAGTGCCCAACACACACTCAGCAATGGTACCCACAGTTCAGGTGGGGAAGAGCCTACCAGGAATACTACTGCTTTTGCCTTCTCATCAGGATTTAAGTCTCACAAAGATTAAATAAGATAATGCACACAATATACTTTTAAGAATACAGTAACTGATGAATATTTATAAATGCACTAAAATCATCATATCTACAAAACTGAGCTTAACACTATATTGCTTTTCCATTTTCTTTTCTTTTTCTGCAGAAAGAAAGGACAGCACAGCTGGAATCCCAAGGGTCTGTTACCATAAAACTCTGGTCCTGCGCCTTCACGGTGTTCTGCATGGCATTTTCTAGTTGGGCACAGAGAGTATGTGCTTCAGCTACCAGTTCTTCACTAAAGACAATGACAAAATTATTAAAAAAGGACATTAGTATCATACCAGTGCTAACACTACTGCTTTCAAATATACTAAAGCGCTTTAATTATACATATATATACACATACATGTATATATGTATGGGAGAGAGAGAGAAAGAGAGTGTATGTGTGTGTGTGTGTGTATGTGTGTGTGTGTGTGTGTGTGTGTGTGTACGTGAATGTGCCAGTCCTGGGGCTTGAGCCTGGTGCTATTCCTAAGGTTTTTGGCTAAAGGCTAGCATTCTGCCACTTGAGCCACTTCCAATTGTTTAGAAGTTCACTGGAGATAAGAGTCTTACAGACTTTCCTGCCAAAGTTGGCTTTGAACTACAATCCTGAGATCTCAGTCTCCTGAGAAGCTAGGATTACAGGAGTGAGCCACTCGTACCTAGCCCTTATTATTATTATATTTTGGTTGGTTGTGAGGCTTGAACTCTGGGCCTGGGCACTGTCCCTCGGCTCTTCAGCTCAAGGCTAGCACTCTACCACTTGAGCCACAGTGCCACTTCTGTTTTTCTGGTGGTATATTGGAGATAAGAGTCTCACAGAGGTTCTTGCTTGGGCTGGCTTTGAACTGCAATCCTCAGATCTCAGCCTCCTAAGTAGCTAGGATTACAGGCCTGAGCCTGTATGCATGAAATAACATGCATTTTGATCCTGAATGTCTGACTCCTCATGGGAGTATTTATTCTTTTGGTTAAGTACTTTTCAACTGCTCAAATTCAAGTATCAACAGTATTGCTTAAAATATGAAATAGCACATAGAACTGTTTAATATGCATAAGCAAAATGCCCCCTTTTGAATTACAAGATACTGAAATTAATTCTCTCTAAACTGCCAAGTATAAAGATGTTTTCTGTTTTATTTATTTATGTATTTAGTATATGTGTGTGTATGTGTGTGTACTGGTTCTAGAACTTGAATCAGGGGCCTCAAACTCTTATTTAGCTTTTCACTTAAGCCTGGTGCTCTACCACTGAGCCACACATCCACTGCCAGATTTCTGTTGATTAGGGTAATGGTCATTTGGATTTATCTGCCCAGAGTGGCTTTGAATCTGAGCAGCTATATTTACAAGTGTGAGACATTGGTGCCAGGTTTTTAATATCCAATTTTTAAACTAGAAAGAAATACAAAGGACCAAGCAATCCACAAGGTTTCCATAGTTCCTTTGTCTGTACTGAAGTGTAAAGTTCTGGAAACATACATTATCTAATCAGGTATCTTTCTTTTCTGTAGTAATACATGTCTGTTTCCTATCGTGAATGGGCTATCATTAATATCATCAATGGGAGAGTCTAACAAGTTTCCTACCTTCAGTTCTGTGACTTTGTGGAAGAAAATGCCAGTGAAACGCTGGTGGCTTATGCCTGTAATCTTGGCTACTCAGGCAACTGGGACTGAGGATCATGATTTGAAGCAGGAAAGCCAATGAGACTCTTTATCTATTATTAACCACCAAAAAGAAGTGGAGCTGTGGTGTAAGTGGTAGTGTACTAGCCTTGAGCAAAGAAGTTCAGGAACAGTGCTCACAAAAAAAGAGAGAGAGATAAAGAAAGAAAGAAAAGAAATTGCCAAGGACAGCATAATGGTATTCTGCGACTTTTACCGTGTAAATGTGACTTTTAAATGAGAAGGAACTCAGTGCATGTTTTTGCTCTACTTAATCTATGGGATCCTAGCTAGACTAAAGGTGCAGTCAGGGCACTGAGAGAAGCATATAATTAAGTTATTGTCCTCCAAGAGCTAACAAGAGGTGAGGGAGATAATTAAGACTTTAACATCATGAACAATTAAATCTAAAGTAGGCTACAAACTCCCTAGGATCAAGAATAGGATATTCCTAAACTGAGTGTGATAGTACATGTCACTATACACAGCTATGCAGGAAGTAGAGATCAGGAGGATCATTACTCAATACTAGCCCATTCAAAAAGTTAGCAAGACACATATCAACAAATAAGGCATGGTGATACGCATCTGCAATCCAAGCTATATGGGAAGTACAGGTAGGAGGATCAAGGTCTGAGCCTGGCTCTAGGCAAACATGTGAAATCTTGTCTGAAAAATAACTACAGAAAAAAGGTGTGGAGGTGTGAGTCAGATGGTAACATGTCTGCGGTGTAAGGCTCAGTTCAAACCTCAGTACTACCACCACCAAAAAAAGTTTTCAAAACACCTTTGTTACAATACAATTTACATACCATAAAATTTGCCTGTTTATCTGGGCACCGGTGGCTCATGCCTGTAATCCTAGCTACTCAGAGGACTAAGATCTGAGGATCACCGTTCAAAGCCAGCCTGGCCAGGAAAGTCTGTGAGACTCTTACTTCCAATAAACCACTAGAAAACCGGAAGTGGCAACTGTGGCTCAAGCGCTAGAGCACTTGTTTTGAGCTGAAGAGTGCAAGGACAGCGTCCAAGCCCAGAGTTCAAGACTCAGGACCGACCAAAAAAAATTTTTTTACCTGTTCAATGTATACAATTGCATGTAGAATATATGGACAGAGTTGGACAATCATTACTATGCCTAGTTTTTGAACATTACTATCATGTGAAAAGAAACCTTTATGGTTTACCCCCTGCCCTGGTTACCCTCCAATGGTAGGCCATTATCAATCTCTTTTGTATACCTAAAGAGTGTAGACAGGGACCGCTTTTAACTAGCTCCAGTGACTGGGAACTGGCAGAGGGAAGCAGTGTGCACAATTGTAAAAGACATCTGAGGAATGAGGCAGTAACTGTTAGGTCCTCCCTAACAGTGTACAGCAGAGCCAGCTGGAGGACTTCTGGGAATCACCTTGATTTAGGGCTCTAAAGAGGCCCAAGAACCCGTATCTCTGTTGCTACTGCTGCTGCTGCTTGTCTGGTTAAGGCTTTACAAGTTGAATTAGTACAAGTGGTTTGTAAGTTGACATTGGATCTAAGACCCACACTGAAATGGGGACAATGCCTGAATAAGTTCAGACCTGATCTACAGTGTAGTGAAAAGCTACTTTTAGTGACTAATCAAGAAACTTCCTGGTCAATATAGAAGATCGAGTGAGCAGCAGCAGTAACAGACAAAGCAGGAAGCCCTACTAGTCCATCAAAACCTCTGTCGCAGTGACTCACGTAATAGAAGGCAAGAAAAGAGATGAACAGGAGATGAAGAGAGGATTAGGAGGAGAACCAGTAGATTAGTAACTCCAGGTGGATGTAAGCAGAAGGGAGTAGGCCAGGAACTCAGGTATGGGGAAGATGGTAGGAACAGGAAACAGGTTTTGAAGAACAGAAATGATTGGTAAGACTAAAAAACAGCATGGACTGACTAGCACTTTCAATATTCTCACTAAGCAATTAATAATCCAACCATCAGACAAGGAAACTAGCTAGTTACAGCAAGTGACAAGGGACTATGAGAACAAAATGTCCACAGGGTCTGGCATATATAACAAATAGAAGGAAATCTTCAGTCACGCTGGCACCAAATGCCTATTAACACTAGCTACTACTAGCTACTCATGCAGGAGATTGAGATCTAAGAACTGCTGTTCAAAGCCAGCCCAGGAAGATAAATCTGAGAGTGGTGGTTCAAGTGGTAGAACACCAGCCTTAATCGAAAAGCTAAGCACATGTGAACAGTCTATAGTTTAAACCCCAATACCAGCACAAATACATACACAAAAAAATCCCCTATCAGATGCTGAAGTAATGAACACTGGTAATAAGCATACATCTTTATCCCCAAGGTCTCCATATGCTCCCTTAAATGTTATACTTGGCATTGTCACCATGACTTACCTTTTCTTGTTTGGCTCAGGTACACTGTCACAGGCAGAGGAAGGCTGGGACATTAGCTGACCAGAGTGACTGACTCGAGAAGTATTGATGCTATCTGGGCTTCCACTGACAGGACCTCGGACTTTGCTCTAAAGGAACAAACCAAGAAAATTTTGGAGCCCAGTGATAAAATGAATTCTACATTTATGCCACTGTATTTTCTTAATTGTCCAAAAGTCACCAGAGTTCTTTCTAGAAACCACCAACTGACAAATATTGACATATATCTACTGGTAATTTGACAAGAGCTGGAACTTTACACTTAGCCTCTAAAGTGTTTCAGTAAAAAGGTGGGGAAGACTGAAGAGCCTGTCTTTGAAGGCTTCCTTTCATCCATTTGATTCCCTAACTGAAAGAAAAGGAATGTGTCTTAACCCTTTTCCAAGTAGGAGATTGAGACACATGAAGAGGTTAGGACTGTGGTAGAAATGAGGAGATACCAAAATATGCTAGAACTAGTCCACTACCCAGACTGTTAATGGCTGTTAATGCACTTTTTTTATACTTGCAGCCTATAGACAATAGTTGCAGCCACTTTTCTGTGTGCCCTGTATCCCTGGTTGGCCCTCAGGCTAGCGATGTTTCTAGTTTCATATTCTCTTCTCTGGCTAGATTAAGGTCCACACTTCAGTCTTTCAAGCAGTTCTGTTTTGCACTGTTTTTTGCCCACATGTTGTGCCTCCTACCAATCACTTGTCTATAGATATATGCCTTCCACAGCCTAGATTTCTGCCTAGCCTTTGAGGGTGGCAGGTCATTCATTCCTGCTGACTGGTTCCCACACGATCAGAGAGCTTTGCTCCCCAAACTCCCTATCAGTAACCACAGGACAGATTCCAGCCTCCACTGCTCTAAATGCTGAGGTCTACCAAAGTGTCACATCCTGTTTCCAGTTGCCACCAGGGATTTTCCTAAAATCTGAATGGGATAGTATCATTTCCACACTTAAGTTCCTTTGATGTGAATGGGAACATTGAACTCTGTTCCCTCTTACACTGTGAAAAGTGCAAAAAATGAGAGAGGCCTGCATCAGATAGCTCTGGCCACTCTCCAGGTCTCCCTGGGTGTTACCCTTCTGCTATTACTCCTATCCAGACTGCACCATATTCTTCAGGGCCTCACGGGCTCAGAAAAAGCAATGTCTTGGTTTTGGAATGTCTTCATTGCCACAAAACCCCTACCTAACTCCTCTTTATTCTTCAGAAGCCTTTATGGTTGCTCCCCCACCTCCAAGACAGAAGCTGGTGGTCCTTGACTGCATTCACATCACCATTCTCACTTGCTATGGCTACATGTTCTAGATTGTTCTTACATGCCCAAGTTTTCACATTACTGGCATACAGTCAGCACTCAATGAATGCAGGTGGCTGATCAGATGTACATACCCCAACTTCTCTCCTCTTGGATCTCACAGCTCATCACCTCTCCTCTCTTCTGTTCCTTCTTTCTTATAGGAAGAAATACCTCTTCCTTCTTGGAAAATCCAGAACTGATGCTTTTGATGGATCCTGATCATCAACTGTCCCTTTTTCTCTGATACAAATGTCCTGTGCCCTGCCTCCTCTTGCTTGTCTTACAGGCATGGCTCAATCTCCAGGATCTTTACAAAACACCATCTTTGTATTCTGATCCTCTATTAGCTCCTATCTGCTTACCTGCTTTTCCTTCCCAGTCTTTTTTTATTTTTTTGAGACAGCATCTCACTATAAAGCCTAGGCTGGTCTCCTGAGCTCATTATCCTCTAGCCTTAAGACTTCCAAAGGATAGGATTAACATGATGCTGGAAACAGAACTGAAGGCTTTGTACATTTGAGACTACTGAGATAATGCTCAGTTCCTGCACCTTTTAGACTACTGAAACACATGCTCAGTTCCTATAACCCTCTATGTGTTCTTACAAGACATGTGGATTGAGAGATTGTTGAGGTCATGAGAGAAGGAAGAGGCAGATGAGAATGAGGCAGCCATATGCTAAAAAAGGCTTTAAGTTACTAAAGCTAGAAGAAGCCGAGGAGCATTCACCCTGAAGCTGTCAGAGGGGGTACCATCCTGCCAACACTTTTTGTTGTCAATCTTTTTGTTGGCTTGTTAGATACAAGGTCTTATCTAGGTTGGTCTCCAACTTTGTATATAGCTTAGGCTGGCCTTGGATTCACAATACTCTTGCCTCAGCCTTTCCAGTGCTAGGACTGCAAGAATGTGCCACTATGCCCAGCCTGACATCTGGATTTGTATATGTGTGTGCTTATGTGGGGGGGATGTGGGGAGAAGGAGGGGGGAGAGAGAGAAAGGAGGGGGGAAGAGAAAGAGAAAAAGAGAAAGAGGAGAGAGGGGAAAAGAAAGGAGAAAGAGAGAGAGAAAGGAGGAGGGAAGAGAATAAGAGAGGAGAGAGGGGAAGAGAAAGAAAAAGAGAGAGAGAGAGAGAGAGAGAGAACACCAAGGCCTGAACTCAGGGCCTCACATTCTTGCTGGCACTTTACCTCTTGAGCCATGTCTCCAATATGCCATTGTGTGTGTATGTGTGCATACATGTGTATACCGGTACTGGGGTACAAACTCAAGGCCAAGGTATTGTCCTATAGCTTTTTTGCTCAGGGCTGTGTCCATTTCTAGCTTTTTGGTGGTTAACTGGAGGTAAGAGGCTCATGGACTTTCCTTCATGGGCTATCTCTGAACCACAATCCTCAGATATCAGACTTCTGAGTAGTTAGGATTACAGACATAAACCACTAGCACCCAGCTTCTTGATGGCTAATTGGAGTCTTGGAATTTCTTGCCCAGGTTTGCTTCGAATTAAGATTCTCTAGGCCTCAGCCTTCTGAGTATCTAGGAGTTCAGGCATGAGCCACTGGCACCAAGTTGACACCTGAAATTTTAACTTCTGGCCTCTGGAGCACTGAGAGGAAGATTTCTGCTACTTGGAACCAGTCAGTTTCAGTAATTAGCAACTGTGGATAAATAAAAACCCTAGTACAAGACCTTCCTCCAACCACTCTACCTAGCCCTTCACTCCCTGCCCATACCATGTCAAAGGGAAATGACAGTAGAACAGAGGCTGACTGGCTTGCTGGAAGACTGTAATTCCCCATGAGAGGAAAAAGCACACTCACACACGCGATCTTCAGAAGGTTCCAGAGCTCCTTCTGCCGCTTTTCCTGAAGCCGGACAACTGTCTTCTCATCCTCATTCATTAGACTAACCACCTCTTCCACCTTGGGCAGCAATTCCAACGCCTTCTGCTTGCAAACCACAGTTTTGCTGTGAAGAACAAACATGACAGACCCCAGTGGGTTCTGGTGCAGTGGGAACACAGTATTGCTCTTCACCCATCCACAGCTGTTACATTTTTCTGAGCAGCTGAGCAAACTAGAGGAGAGTAAAGGAGACACTTCCCCATGTCCAGCTGGTACCTCCATCCTCCATGGAGTAGGAAACAGTCATACCTGAGCTGTGTGTAAATCACTCGCACTTTCTTCTCGAAGCTTTGAATTGCCTGAAGGAGGAGACGTACCATTTCTTGACTGTCACCATCTGTCCGCTGGTCTGGATAGAAGAGGGGAACAGTTGTTCCAGGCGGCTGGCAGAGTGCCAGTGCCCCAGAAATGAGATGGTAAGGGATGGGGCAGCCAAACCCACCTACCTCGTGGCTTCTCCCTAAGTCTCCTGTAGAGCTCCCTTGCTTGTTCCTCTCTAAAACACACAAGCAACAGTACTTATATTTAGCTTTAAACAAGCCTATCTACAGAGATGTTCTGCTAATTCTTGCCAGTGGAATCACTGACTTCCAGACACAAGACTGATGATATGAATTTCTTGATAAGAAGAAACTATTTCTGGTGATATCTTTAGTAAACAAATGATCACCCTTATCAAAATTCAAATACCTCCTGTTTAATGAGAGCAAAGTTTCAAGAAAGCAGGCTCTGCTCAATCCTGAATTCCCCACTTGGCTTCTGCAAAAATTAATTCTAGGGCCTAAACAGAGGCAGATGTGAGCCCAGGGGCAGGTATAAACTCCTGCCATTCCCTAATACAGGTGAGGCTGGCAACAATCTTAAAAGAAGGCTCCATTTGAAAACTGGAAGAGAATGAAAGATTAAAGAATTACAGGCAGGAGTGGTGGCACATGCCTGTAATCCTAGCATGCAGGAGGCTGAATCAGGGGATTTGTGAGTTGAAGGCCAGTCTGGGCTACATGGAAAGATTTAATAATGGTAATGAGAATAATAAGAAAGAGGAGGAAAAGGAAAAGAAAAAAGAGGAAGAATCAGAGGATATATAGAGGAAATCAGATTTTTGATGTTTCTAATTTCCCATCCTAAAGTCTTAGTATAAGCATCAGAGAACACTTGGTACCCAAAAGGGCAAAGCCATCAATAAACAAATCCTGCTTGCTCCAGGGGCTACATTTATTTTCTCCAGATAGGATGGGTGTGCCCAGAAACCTCATCCCCTTCTGGAGCCAAAATCAATGTCAAGCATTTGACAAAGATTTACATGAGCCATGTCCAGGTTCAATACATAGACTTGCCAAGCTCTTCACTCTCTTTTCAACTTCCTGCTCTTTGAGCCATACCTGAGTGAGGATGGACTGGAGCAGCAGTGATGTCTGATAGAACAGTAAAGGCTACTTGCATTTCATAGCCTTTACATACACACACTCTTTTTTTAAAAAATAAGTTTTTTATTGTGAAAATACTGTACAGAGGGGTTACAGTTACATGAGCAAGGTAATGAGTGCATTTCTTATCAAGCATTGTTGCCTCCTCCTTTGTGTTTCCCCTACCATCCCTTCCCTACTACCTCCACAACTACATTCCCCGCTCCCCCCTGCACAAATTGTAAAGTTTGTTTTTCAACACAGACTACACACTCTTCTAATGGGCAATAGCTAAAGGGATCTACACACATCAGTGAGGGAGAAAAGTTTTTCTTGCCACTAGAACATTTCAACACAAGGGTGCAGTTTCGGTGATTTGGCCTGGAATGTGTCACGATGGTTTAGCAGGGACATGTTCTACAGGACGGTCCCATGGGGCTTCCTGAGTCTATTCTAAACTCTACCACTATGTTGGTGCACTGGAGAAAAAAAACAAATGGCTACTGCTGGGTGGTACTCACAAGTCATCCAGTGTGCCCCCCTGCTTCCGGCCCATTGGGCTCCTTTGTAAGTCCACGATGTCTGTTTGTAGTGCCATCATTCGTTCCACCAAATGCTTCACATCATTCTCCTGATGAAAAAAACTGTGCTAATGTCAGCTGAGGTAAGAAGAATGTGTGTGTGCTGGTATCAAGTGCTTGAACTCAGGTTTAGGTGCTGTCCCCTTGGCTTTTTTTTTTTTTGGCCAGTCCCGGGGTGCTGTCCCTCAGTGTTTCAGGTCAAGGCTAATGCTCTACCACTTGAGCCACTGTGCCACTTCTGGTTTTCTGGTGGGTTATTGGAGATAAGAGTCTCACAGACTTTCTTGCCCAGGCTGGCTTTGAACCTCAGATCTCAGCCTCCTGCGTAGCTAGGATTATAGGCATGAGCCACCAACACCCGGCCTCCCTTAGCTTTTTTGAAGAACATCAAGGGTGAGATTGGCCAGGACAGGCAGGGAAAGATTCTCCAAACTCACTGGTCTCTCAACTGACTGGCTAGATGGAATATGTCCTCTGGAATCAGAAGGACCTCCTGAGTTTAGATGCTACATCTACCACTCTCTAGCTGTGAAACTCATGAGCACTTCTTTAACGAGGTACAGTTTTTTTCTACTATAAAACAGACTTTCAGTAGGACTGCCAAAGCACACGTGGAATGCCTGGCACAGAGAATATGCCCAATGCACATTACTTTGTTTTCTCTTAACTTGTTCATCGCAGTGCCACCTGTGTGGGGAGGTCCAGATTCTGCTCCATGTCAGAGATGATGAATGGGAGACAAGCACGTGCCCCTTCCCATAATTAAATTCAGAACTGTCATGGTGGCCTACCTTTAAGCATGCATAAACTCCATCAGGGCTAATTCATAAACAGATATTAAGTCACAGAGGTGCAGGTCCTTGCCCAAGTACACTGGGAGGATGGTGGAAAAAACCTTGGAAGCTGGGCCTTGAATTTGTGCATGATTCACTTAATCACACTGACTTCCCTTGATTCCATGATTACAGTTTCTCAGTGGTACCTGATTTAGTATGCTGAAACTTTCTGCCTATCTTTTATTCCAAATGGAATTTATGTCCCAAAAAAACTAGACAAAACTTTGACAATAAGTCCTTCCTGAAAGCAAAAAGTCTGGGCTTTTCCCCAACAACAATGTAGAGCTCCTTATACTGGTTACTCTCAGTTTCTGCCCATTAAGTATGATTAAAGTCAAAGAGCATGTCAAGGAAAATTTAAATTTTGACATAAAAGAGCAATACACTATTTGATTGGAAAAAAAAGATAGAACAAAATTTCACCTACTCCAAAAGTACAGAAACATAAGATGCATCTCCTACCCGCCCACAGAGCTCCACAGCCTGTTCCATTTCCTTCCAGGCCAGCAGCAGTTTATCTGATGCTGGGGGGAAAAATGAGAAGAAAAAAATGAAAAACAGAACAAAAACACCACAAAATCAAAACAGAAATGAACATTCTATTATAAAATGACAAAAAAAAACCTTCAGAAAAGAAAGGAAAGGAAGAAAGGGAGGGAGGGAAGGGGCTAAAGAGTGAGGGAAGGAGAGGAAGAGAGAAAGGAAGGGACTCTATAACTTATTGCAGAATACACTCACTGATCCCAAACTCGGTTTGCTCTCTGTACTTCTCCAGGTCAATTTGGATACTGGTTTTAAAGAAATCCAACTTAGCTTTGAGCTGCTGAGCCATGGAGGCCATGGAATTCTTCATTTTGGAAAGGCAACTGTTATTCCGAAGGAGATTCATCCTGCAGGGACCACAAGAAACAGAACCTTGGAGCACCTTCAGAATCCAATTCTATTTCCTACACTATAATAAAATCCTTCCAATGCCAAGGGAGGTCCTTGCTATGCTAAAAATCACCACTATTATTAAAGCGGCCACTTATAACTATAAGGGCAATTTTCTAACCTCTAGCAATGTATGAGGTTCTACACAAAACTGGAATTAGCAAAGCCAATTACCTAAGTTCACCATAACCATGGAAAATATTTGCAAATCTCATGTACCTCGGGAGTTCTACCAACCCAAACTGTAGTAAGCTTCTCTGAGCTCCAAATTCTGTGCACAGCTAAGCCAGGTCAGCTCTTAAGTTTTACACTTCTGCCTCAAGTGCTCACCACAGTCTCCCATCAGGTCCAAAAGAGCCATCCTCCAACAAGCCCACACACCACTTCCCGCCCTTCTAAACCAGTCTCAGTCATAGTTGCTTCTGGATCCCTGCCTCAACCACCTCCCTGGAGCTAAATAGACCAAAAAAATTTAAATTAAGTGAAAAAACTGTCTGGCACAGTACATGGCAGCTCGCTGTCCCTGCTGAAGCCGGTTACAGTCCTCCTTCAGGGTTTGGATGCAGTGCCAGACCTGGCCCCACACTTTTCTCAGCTGGAAGAAAGAGAGGCTCCTCTTTGGCTCCTGAACTGGAAACAGAGATGTGCAATTGTCAGAGAATAACTCTTCTCAAGAAACCACATCCTGTTTTGCAATATAATATATAGCCATTGTATTGCTGTGTAACTTTCTGGGTATCACTTTGTGTGCCCCACTAACAGTATAATCATGTGTCAGATGGTTAGTAAACGGTTTATTAATTTGATCTGAAGAAACATTTTTCCAAATCATTTATTGACATGCATAGAGGAAGCCAATAGAAATACTTATGCTCACCACAATTAAGGTTGTATGAGGCTTTGTACAAAAGAAATGTCAACCAGTAGCACTGGAGATGCTTAAGAAAGCAAGAAGTCTGGAGATTGCTGAGACCTTGGGTACTTAATCTGTTTAAGTATAAATTGTGTACAGGGGAGAGAGGGAAGTCTCATCATCAAAACTTTCTTCATTGAAAAGATTGTATTCCAAAGAGAAGAAGAGCATCAGGAATTATGAAAGGGGTGACAGGACAGATGAAAAAACAGAGAAACAGAGAGGCTAAAAGTTGTTGGCATGTCTGTAAACCTAGCCTACTCAGGAGGCTGAGAATCACTGTTCCAAGCCAGCCTGGACAGGAAAGGCTGTGAGACTTTTTGTACAAAAACTAACTAAAAAGAAATAAAAGCCTTTAATGTCAAACTTGTTTTTAATCTAGTAAAGGAAAACAATAGGAGAAATACTCCAAGTTACAGGCATAAGCAAAGATTTCTGAATAGGACTCCAGTATTTCAGGAGCAAGAACTGACAAATAGGATTTCACTGTATATATAAAAGCTCTTAAACAGCAAAAGCAACAAATCAAATATAGGGAGACTATCTTTACCATATGACAGGTGACCAATATCCAGAATAAATGAGTAACTTTAAAAAAATAAGTATTAGAGTGATAATCCAATCACTAAATGGGCAAATGAACAGACCCTTTTCAAACTGTCAATAAATACATGAAAAAAAAGTTCAACATTCTTAGTCATCAACAAAATGCAACTCAGAACTACATTTAGCTGGACAGGTGGCTGAGATCTGAGGACCACAGTTCAAAGATAGATTATGCAGGAAAAGTTTGTGAAACTCCTATCTCCAATTAACCAACAAAAAAGCTGGATGTGGAGCTGTGGCTCAAGTGGCAGTAGCCTTGAGCAAAAAAAGCTCAGGGACAGCACCCAGGCCTTGAGTTCACACACACACACACACACCCCTGTTATTCACACACACACACACACACACACACACACACACACACACACCCTGTTATTCACACTTGACTGAGGCCTTGAGTTCACACACACAAACACACACACACCTGTTATTCACACTTGACTACAAATTACTCTATCCCCTATCAGTATAGATAGAAGTTCCTCAAAAAGTTAAAACTAGAGGGTAATATGCTAGCTACTCAGGAGAGAGAGGAGAATGTGGTTTGAGGCCAGCCCATGGCAGGGATAGAAAAGTAAGACACCAGCCGGGCGCTGGTGGCTCACACCTATAATCCTAGCTACTCAGGAGGCTGAGATCTGAGGATCATGGATCAAAGCCAGACCGGGCAGGAGAGACGGTGAGACTCCTATCTCCAATAAACCACCAGAAAACCGGAAGTGGCGCTGTAGCTCAAGTGGTAGAGCGCTCGCCTTGAGCTGAAGAGCTGAGGGACAGCACTCAGGCCCAGAGTTCAAGCCCCACGACCAACAAAAAAAAAAGAAAAGTAAGACACCATATCAAAAAAAAGCCAGGTGGGGTTGGGTATTTAGTTCAATGGAAGAGCACTTGCCTGGCGAGTGCAAGGCCCTGAGTTTGGTCCTCAGCTCTGGGGGGGGGGGGGGGGAGGAAGCCAGGCTAGGCGACATGTGCATGCAAATTCCAAGTACTCAGAAGGTCACTGTATGAGGATTATAGTCTAAGTCTGGTCAAGGAAAAAGTGCAAGATACTATGTGAACAATAAACTAAAACAAAAAGCACTGAGATATGACTCAAGTGGTAGAGTGCATTTGCCTAGCAAGCTCAAGGTCTTAATACAACACCTAGTACCAACCCCAACACACACACAAAAATTAAAAATAGAACTTCTGTATGATACAGTCATACCACTTTTGGGTTTATACCCGAAGAAGTCAAAGTCAGCTTGCTACAGAGAGAAGCAGTATCCACATTTATCACAGCACTATTCATAATAAACTAGTTAAAGAATTAGCCTTTGTACCCATCAACATATGAAGAATGTGTTATATATATATATATATAAATAAAATCGAGTTTTACTCAGCTATTAAAAAGAATGCAATTATGTCATTTGCTGGGAAATGGGTGAACTGGAGATCATGTTAATCGAACTAAGCCAGACTCACAAAGACAAATACCACATTTTTCTCTCATTTGTGGAAGCCAAGGGGAAAGCAAAACAACTGAAGTTATAAAAAGTAAAAAGGAGACTATTAGAGATGTAGAAGTAGAAGGGAAAGGAGGAAGGAGGAAAGAGGGATAAAAAGGTAGGAAGTGAATATGATCAGGGAATATTATATACATGTATGGAAATGTCATGATAAAACTCCTTCAACAATTTAATACAGACCAATGGAAAAAAGCCCATCAAACATTCAAGCAGAGGAATATCAAAGAGCCATTAAAAATAAGTCAGCTCCACACATATCCATACTAGTAAAGGGTAATATCTGTATAGGGGAAAAGATAGGTAAAGAACATGTATTTAATGCTATCATTTGCTTGGGGAAAAAATAATCCTGCAAAGGATGCCCAAGAATCTGAGAATAGCAGTTTTCCTGGAAGGGAAACTCACTGGTTGGCAAGTATGAAACAGAAGGTGGCTTATTTTTCATCATATATTCACTCTTTTGTATTTTTGAGGGTATAATTTAAACATTAACTAAAAAATATAAGTACAAATCTAAAAATAAATAAAATGGCTAGTAGGCAGTATTCTTTGCCCCCTAACTAAATCTCTAGTTTGAGGCTGAATTCACCAATAATCCCCTTGATGTGGTTTTGTTTGTTTTTGGCTCATCCCGGGGATTGAACTTAGGGCTTGGGCATTGTCCTTGAGCCTCTTTGTGCTCAAGACTTGCACTCTACCACTTGAGCCACAGCACCACTTCTGTTTTTTCTATTTATGCGGTACTGAGGAATCAAACCTAGGGCTTCATGCATGCTAGGCAAGCACTCTACCACTAAACCACATTCACAGCCTTCTTGATATGTTTTTTCATGAGCTTCTCATTCCCTGAGGACCAGTAAACAACTTTTCCCTTAGTAGCCCTGTCCCTGGCTTCATATCACTTCTTCCCACTTTGTCCCCAGAATTACAACTGATCATTGCTTAAATAAATGTTCTTACGGATACAGCTGACACATTCTGGTTGTGGCCGTGGAGAGATTTGAGTCTCATAGGTAATTTTACTGTTGTCAAAGAGAAAAACAAGATCCATGTCCAATGTGCGACCCTCATTCAGCTGCGAAGGGACAAGAATAGAGTGAGATCTGATGTTCCCCTCCCCCTTTTCCAACTAATCATGAGTGGTTTTTGAGCTCTCCCCGTGGTCCAAGAATATCATATTCAGCCCACAGGCCACTAGGCATTCTTTTTCTTGTTCCTGTATTGCTTATCAACAGATTCTACTAAAGTATTCTACTTTATTCTGACAGTCCTTCCTGCGCAGTTCTGAAGTTCAGCATTCACTTTCTTGTTCAATGACTGCTGCTTGCATGCAGCTCTATTTCCGTAAGTTACTCTGTAAGCTCTTTAGGGTAGGGACCTATCTCAAGTTGCTGTAGCCAACAAAGCTGTCCAACACAAGTCTGCACATGCAGACAGATATCCATCATGAGTAGCTTTGGGTGACCAGAAGAGTAAAACTGAATTTTGGCAATAAATGAAAAAAAAATCAACAAATGGTCTGGCAGTGACGTGACGTGTCTCCAGGAAACCCCATAGGAGTCTCACAACACAGCTCAAAGAAACAAGCAGCTTCCTGAACTGTGTAATTAACAGACCGCTTAACACTACAGATTAGCAATCTGAGAAGTTGTTTCCTAGGAGGCAGTCAGGGGAAAACAGTGTGGTCTGTAAGAAGCCAGGGGCTTACCTTGCCATCTGAAATACACTGGATGGCAGGCTTGTCAGGGATCAATGCCAGACCAGCCTCTTGCAGCAGCTCTTGATCCTTCTCCAGGATTCCTGTGTCTTCCTGGATTCTGGCCTTTAAGCTCTGCAGGCTCTCATCTTCTGTCACAGGATAAGTATAAATGGTGCCTGTGACCATGTTCAAGATATGAACCAGCTGCAACAGATTTTACTGTGAAAAATCGGTCTTAACAGAAATGCCATATATCTGCCAAGACATTCCACTCCTTCACTACTCCCAAAGCTCCTAAATGTTGGTTGCTTCCAAGTCCCATAAAGAAAGGCCTAGCTCAATGGAGGGAGGCTGGGTGCCATGTTCCAGGTGTTCTAGTCTTCAATTTTCCTGGTAGTGGAAGCCAACATCAATCAACTCTTACATTTTATTCTCTTACTTCGTAGAAAGACTCATAAGAGCCTAAATTTCCCCCACTGAGCCAATGACTTGCTTTGTCCTGGGCACTTCTTCCTTATAATAACAACTGTGTCCCACAGGGGACCCCAGCTGTTACCTCAGAGCTACTCTGGCTTCACTCTCACCTTCAAGTTTAAGATGTTATCCAGGGCCTTAAAACAGCCATTGGGCCCATACTGGGGGTCTGTGCCCCTTTGTCTGGGGTGCCACATGAGCATCAGCTGCAGCCACTTCTCTAGTCGCTCGGCCAGTACGCTGAGAAAAGCAGAAGAGTATAGAAAACACATGAGCCATGATCACGCTGCCTATGTGCATCTCACTGTAACACACATAGGTAGCAGCTAACAAATGAAAGTATTTCACGTGAGAAATTTAACTACCGGGATGTTTATCTTCTCAGCCTCACAATTATTGAATTGTGTACGAAATGTACAGAGCCATCTAGCCAGCTAGAGGCCTTGGGTTTGACCCAAGAAAGAAAAGAAAGTAAGGGAGGAAAAGGGAAGGAGAAGGAAGGAAGAGGAAGGGCATGTTGTAGGCTGACCCTTCCTGCAGGTAATCCTCACTTATCTGGACCTATGCTCCAGGATTTGATAATACACCTCTCAAGAGCATAGCATGAGGATACAAGACAAAATTCAAAGTCTTCCTGGCCCCTAGAGCTGCCTCCAGGATGCACTGGAATCTTCTGAGGCCAACCCAGCAACTTATTGACTCTCCCAGCAACTCACTGCCTCTCCTATATGTCTCTGCTCACTCCTGTTTCTCCCCTTTGAGCTTCCTCAATATTCTTCATTGGTCCATGTCCTGCCCATCTCTCCATTTTCTCAAAAGAAAACCTCATACCTGGCACCAGTATCTCAAACCTATAATTCTAGCTACTCAGAAGGCTGAGATCTGAGGATTGAGGTTCAAAGGCAACATGGGCAGGGAAGTCCTTGAGATCTTATCTCCAATTAGCCACAAGAAAACCAGAAGTGGTAGAAGGGTAGCCTGAGCAAAAGAGCTCAGGGACAGCTCCCAGGCCCTGAGTTCAAACCCCATGACCAATAAAAAGAAGAAAGGAGAAGGGAGGGGAAGGAGAGGGGAGAGGGGAACAGAGAAGAAAGGCTCCTGAGCAGTCATTCATCCAAGCTGTAATGCACACAATACCCTTCCTATCCTCTGATAATCATGGCAGTGGTTACCAGTGTGGCTTACTTAAAATAATTGTAGCTTATGTAACTTACATAGGTTTTTTTTCCCCTGATAATCCTGCTTATATTCTGGCTCTAAGACTAGACTAGACTGTAATGCCCTTTGAACTACAGATTGATTTCTTTACTATGACATACTATTAGGCCAGAAGAGGAGTGCAAAGAGATAAAATATTATTCCCTACCCTTAAAAGGCTTACTACAGTGGTGGACAGGTAATACCAGATTCTTGGGAAGTAGAGATTAGAAAGATTGTGGTTCTGGACCAGTCTGACAAAAAGTTAACAAGATGTCATCTCAATGAACAAGCTAGGTGTGGTGGCTCATTACGAAAACTGCAGCTACGTGCGAGGCAAAAGCAAGACTCTCTCAGCAAAAAAGGTCTGGGAACATGGCTCAAGTGGTGGAGTGTTTGCCTAGCAACTTAGAGGTCCTGAATTAAACTTCAGTACTACTAAAAGGAAAAAGCTTAACTGTAGTAGGAGACAAACCCTATACCGAACTGAATATAAGTTAGAGAACACTAAGAGTAATAAGATGTACAGAAAAACCGGGAGTGAATTTTAAAAAAAAACAGATGATTTGGGGTCTGGGGATTTTGCACAGTGGTAATATGGATGCCTAGCATGTATGAGGTCTTACCTTAGATTCCTAGGACAATCAACCAACCAATAAGACATTTCTATTTATACGGAGATGTGGGATGATAACCCATCTTGTTTGTTTAAGGTTGAGATACTTATGTCAAATTCTAGCTCACAGAATAATATCCTGATAATATGTCTAAAAGTTGTCACCTCAGACTTGAATTTTTAAGCAAGGGAAGGAAACTCTGTATACTACTAACACTGCACCTTACCTGTTAAGATTATTGGGGTATGGTAAAGAGCTTGAAAATTTCACTGCTCCATTCAAGTCTTCACTAACAACGATGTCCACCTCACTCTTCTGTCGGACTTTGGAATGCCTGCAAATGTACCACCTTATTAAGAAATCCCTTACCAAGTTCAGGGTCACATTTGTAACATCCTTGAGGACTGCACAGATGACTTAAATCCCCACGTAGATATTTCATCCTGTCTCCATCCTGTCTTCTGACAGGATGCTGAGGATGTAGCTCAGTGGTATAGCATGTACTTAACATGAGCAAGGCCTTGGTTCCAGCTACAGCTCCATGTTGAAATGAAAAAGTCATTGCTGCCTAAGTGATTTCCAGACAGCCTCTGAGAGCAGCAATTAGCCATGTGTGCCTTGACTTCTACAGACAGGATTGCCATTTCCTCCACTTCCTTTTTTCCACCTACCACTTTCATCAAACTCTCAAGTTTTAATAGAGGATAGAATTAGTTAAGCCAAACCAAAGTTGCTATATATATGTCACATTGACAAGGAAGATGTACAAAACACATGCACACAAGTGTACATCAATTTATTTGTACATAGCTAAGTAATATTTTCTAATGGTAAAAGAACATTTACTTTTTTCCAACCTAAGGAATTTCTTGAGGTGTTGGAAGAAGAAAAAAGTTAAACTCAACTGGTTCCCAATCTTTTTAGTAACAAGGATGATTACTTAAATAATAATTCATAGATAACCAAATACTCAGCCATAATTCCCTTAGGTACTAAGATAACATCAAGTGGTGACATTTTTTTGTTTGCCACTAGTGCAAGGAATCAAAGCTCAGGAGACTACTCCAACTTTATATATGGCAAGAACATGGAAGAACTGGGCATTCAAGACCAAAAATGTGACATAATTTCCACTTTTTTGTTTTGTTGTTGTTGTTGGGTCATAGGGCTTGAACTCTGGGCCTGGGTGCTGTCCCTGAGTTCTTCAGCTCAAGGTAAGCACTCTACCACTTGAGCCACAGAGCCACTTCTGGTTTCCCGGTGGTTAATTGGAGATAAAGAGTCTCAGAGACTTTCCTGCCTGGGCTGGCTTTGAACCATGATCCTTAGATCTCAGCTTCCTGAGTAGCTAGGATTACAGGCGTGAGCCAACAGCACCTGGTACCATTATGGTGCCACTCTTCTGAATGTCCAAATACAACTTTTCCTCAAAGATGTGGAAAATTAAAAAATAAGTAAATAAAGCTTTAGCTCTGAACACATCTCACTGGAAAGCAATAAAGTGGCCTGTATTAAGCATGCAGGAAATCCAGAAAAGGTGGGTACAGCAGATGCTGGTGGCTTACAGTTCAGGTGAAACTATCACAGGCAGAAGTCAGGAGATAGCTCTAGCTGGGAACTGAGGCTCATGTATGTAATCCTAGCTACTCAAAAGGCTGAAATGTGGAGTACTAAAATTTGAAACCAGTCTGGGCAAAAAAAGTCTGTGAGACTCCATCATCAATTAACCATCAGAAAGCTAGGCTGGAGGCATGGCTCAAGTGGTAGAGTACCAGCCATGGGCAAGAATGCCTCACAAGAGTGTTGAGGTCCTGAGTTCAAGACACAGTACTGGGAAAGGGGAGTAGAGGAGAAAAAGTAGTGAGGAGCGGGAAATTACTAAAAAGATGCACTAAATAAAATGCTTATGGGGCTGGGAAGGTGGCTCAGTGGTAGAGCGTTCGCCTTGCATGCTTGAGGCCCTGGGTTCTATTCCTCAGCACCACATAAGCAGAAAAAAAAAGCCGGAAGTGGCGCTGTGGCTCAAGTGGTAGAGTGCTAGCCTTGAGCTGAAGAGCTGAGGGACAGCACCAAGGCCCAAAGTTCAGGCCCCATGACCGGAGCCCCCCACCAAAAAAAAATGCTTATTGCTTAAACTAGTTCTAAAATTGTTTTCAAAACAGCTTTATAATAGAATTATAAAACCCAAACTGCATCTGCCTGAAATTATTAGCCACCTGTCACTTGAGCTGAAACAGTGAAATTTTTAGAAGTTGGTTAAGGTTAATATTAAAGGAGCTGGGTGCCGGTGGTTCATGCCTATAATCCTAGCTACTGGGGAAGCTGAGATCTAAGGATCGCAGTTCAAAGTCAGCCCAGGCAGGAAAGCCTTGAGACTCTTATCTCCAATTAACCACCAGAAAACCAGAAGTGGCACTGTGGCTCCAGTGGTAGAGCGCTTGCCTTGAGCTGAAGAGCTCAGGGACAGTACCCAGGCCCAGAGTTCAAGCCCTATAACTGAAAAAAAAAAAAAATTAAAGGAATAGATAAATTAGGCTCTTCTCTTCAATTCACAAAAGTTCACAAAAGTCTTCTACTCACAAAAGTTCACAGAAGTCTTTTAGTTTCAGAGAAGTTCATCTGGCCTATGCTGAGATTATAGGAAGAAGATTCTAGATGGTGGTGGCAGGTATACTACTAAGACAGAGCCATTGGGGTATATCTGTAAACAGTATTCCAGTAATGGATTTTAACCCTTCTTGTTATACATAATGGAAAAGTTCAATATTTGAATTGGCTAATTAAAACTACTAGAGGAATATGAATAAAGCTATTTCTTTGTTGGTTCATTATAAACTCTGATTACAAGTCAATTGTTGGGTTCCCCATATTCTAGAAACTATAAGGCTTTAATAACAATGCCTAGTTTGTCAGATCACCATAGGAAGGTATGCTTTGCTGTGGCCCCAGGATTTTCAGGGTGGAGCCTGCTGTCACCTAAACCTTTCTTCTAGAACTGATTTCAAAGGTTACACTTTCTTCTCTTTTTTTTTTTTGTCATTTTTTTAATTAAAAGAGACATATTTCTCTGGGTACATAAAAAATATAAACATACAATAGCTAAATATCCAAAATATCTTATAAGCACAAATAGTTGCCATTATTATTTTTTACCAAAAATTAACTCATTTTCCCAAGAAACTCTGTACTTAAGACTTTAATTTTTCTTCTCATTTTTCAAATTTGACTTGATGTCTAAATAAATTTCAAAAGACGGCAGCTGGCAACAGTTTGGTAACAGGGACCAGAAGCTTGTATTTATTCTACTTTTCTGGCTAGCAGAACTCTTTATTATGCAGATAATAAACATCAAATTTAAATGTGTTTGATCTGTTAATTCAATTCCTAAGAATAAACCCCAGGGAAATAACTGTGGTTGTGAAAGGATTTACCAATAAGGATATTATTTTCTCTATTCTTTGAAGAAGTAAAAACTATAAAACACTCAAGCTTTTCACAATACAGCACAAGTTAAATGAACTTGTAGTTAGTGGATACTAAACAGATATTCTCAATAACATGAAAAAACACACAGATTGTTTCAGAGCCTTAATATAAAAGTAGGTTGGATCAGAATATGCACCATAACCTATCTTGTGCTATTCTTGGGGCTTGAATTCAGGGCCTATGCGCTGTCCCTGAGTTTTTTTGCTCAAGGCTAGCAGACTACTTACTTGAGCCACAGCTCCTCTTCCAGCTTTTTGGTTATTAATTGGAGTTTCATGAACTTTCCTGCCTGGGCTGGCTTCAAGAACCATCCTCTTGAGTAGCTAGGATTATAGACATGAGCCACCAGTGTTCAGCACTACTTCTGTTTTTATAAAGTATAAAATACACAAACATATACTGAAGAGTCCAAAGACACAAAAAATATTCACAGTGACTGTTTCCATATTATCTAACTGTCCTTTTGAAAAGTTGTTTATACAATTTCCAAAAGCACAAAAAAAATCAAAATTAGTCTTTGAGATAATCAAATTGTATAGTATTGGTCTGGCTCCAATAGCCGTACACATGCTATGCAGACCTTCTACCACTTGAGCTATGCTTCCAAACAAAGATTTTTGTATTACATATGAATTGGCTATGAAGAATAATTTCTCTCAGGGTAGACATGTGCAGGACATTGTTAACATTATACCACCATTGGTGAATGAAAGCGGAGGACAAGTAATGAACTCATAAACAAATGTAGGACAATCTAGTTAGGGGGTAAATATCCTCCAGCACACAGTATCTGTCTGGGGGGAAAAGGGAGCAGATAGTTGGGTGATAGTTGGGTGACAATCCTAGGATTTAAACTCAGGGCCTGGGTGTTAAAGTGCTCTACCACTTGAACTACAGCTCTACTATGACATATTTTTTTTGGGGGGGGTGGGTGGGTAGGGAGAGGGATAGGGGTGGGTGGGTAGGGAGAGGGATAGGTGTTAACTGAATATAAAGAGTTTCACAGACTTTCCTAGCCAGGCTGGCTCTGAACTGGGATCCTAAGTAGCTAGGATTACAGTTGTGAGCCAGTGGCACTTGACAATATTTTTATAACTAGTAAAAAAACCAAGTTAAAGAATTTTAAAAAGCTTGATTGTATCCTTTAGGGTTTTTTTTTTTGGGGGGGGGGTCCGGTCATGGGCCTGGACGCTGTCCCCAGCTCTTCAGCTCAAGGCTAGCACTCTACCACTTGAGCCACAGTGCCACTTCCGGCTTTTTTTTTTTCCTGCTTATGTGATGCTGAGCAATGGAACCCAGGGCCTCAGGCATGCAAGGCAAGCGCTCTACCACTGAGCCACCTTCCCAGCCCCTCCTTTAGGTTTTTTTATTTAGAAATTTAAAAAATTTAAAATTTATATTTTAAGCCATTTCCTTTTGCTTTTAAAACAGAAATTTATATTTAGGTCAGGGACAGTAGTGTAGAACTGCAGTCCCTGCTACTCAGGAAGCTAAGGTAGTTTACTTCAACCTAATAGCTTAGAGTCAGTATTGGTGATACACTGAAAACATACTCTTTAAAAACTATTTTCACGTATAGTAAAACTTGCCAACAGTAAATATTTCATCATAATCTGTCATGTGCACATATCATTTCTTTCTGTTTACTAATAGTACTCTCAGTAAGAATGAACACACTGGTTCATAATGTACTGCTGTTACTACTGAAGGAAGGGCAAATGGAATTCACATAGTACTATACTTAAAGATATTAACAACTGCTCTTTTGTTCAAGGTTTGTGGAGCTGTTGACAGCTAAGTCCTAACAGATTTGTCAGGCAAGTAGGGTCACTCAATAAGGGGATAGCAAAGAGATGAACAGGGCCAGGTCTGGGCCCTCACTTACCATTGCACAGGCTGCCAGTTGGGGAGAAAAGGCCTGAAACCTGTGATGCATTCGAAGGCCAAGGTGCCAAAGCTCCAATAGTCAACCGTCACTGTGTACTTCTGCTGCTCCAGTAGCTCTGGGGCCTGTAAGACATATGTGAGGCATGCCCAAGCTGCTCTTTCTTCTACTGAAAGGGCTGCCAACTTATCTGAGTGCACTTCTATGCCAGGAACACTGGTACATGTACTTATAACGGAGGATGTGACCACCAGAGCGGGTTCAGCTGCTGGTACCTGGTACCTATTCCATGCCTTGTACACTATAAGCAAATATAGACAGAAGGACTAATCCCAAGGAATTATTTTTCTCACTGTGCTCTAATTTCTCAACTTTAGAAATGAGAGTTGTACCCCTTTCTATAACTGATTCCTGCTAACAAAAAAAGCAACAAAAAGAGTATAGTGTGGTAGCTTAATGCTATATGGGAGGCAGGGATCAAGTTATTGCCATTTGAGGCAGCCTACGCAAAAGCAAAAAAAATCACAAGATTCCATCTCAACCAATGGCTGGGCACAGTGGCACATATCTGTTACCTACTGGGGAAGCACAATGGCTAGGTGCAGTGGCATGTGCCTAGATCTCTAGTGACTTGGGCAAGCACAAGTAGGAGGATCACAGACAAGCCAATCTTGGCATAAAACAAGCCCCTACCTTGAAAATAACCAATGCAAACAGGAGCTAGAGACAGGTCAAGCAGTAGGGCATCTTCCCAGCAAGCGTGCGGCCTCAAGTTCATTCCCCAGCATAGCCCAAAATAATTCTTCAAAAAAAATGAAGGTTGCAACATTTCAGATATTTATTCAAATCTAATTAAATGCAGGGCCCAGTCATGGGTATTGTGTAGAGATGGAAAGATAGACTTTGTACAAAAAGGAAAACCAATGCCAGGCAGGGAAAAAAACAGATGAACAACTGCCACCAAAGCAGAGAACTGGGGTGACAAAGGAAGGTGATGAAGCCCAAGTGGGACCAACTGAGTTTAGAGAGCTCTTCACAGGAGCAGGGAAGACACACATCACAGAAAGGACCATCCTGAGCAAGGTTCAGAGACAAGACTGGGCATGGTCTCGGTCGAAATATAATACTTACATGATGTGTAAACTCATGCAAGTGAATAACCTGATTTAGCATCCAGGTCAGAATAATTGCTACTGAGCTGATAAAGACTCTACAATACCTAAATCATAGCCACGCTCCCCCCCACCCAATCCACCCTCCCCACCCTCTGCAATGGTCATTCCACAAAACAGGAGATAAACTGAAGGAGGCCATTACTCTAGTTGGTAAGACAGGCAGGAAATAGCAATGCACATAAAAATACATCACATAAGGCTTGGAAGGTGGCTCAGTGGCAGAGTGCTTGCCTTGCACGCATGAGGCCCTGGGTTTGATTCCTTAGCACCACATAAGCAGAAAAAGCCAGAAGTGGCACTGTGGCTCAAGTGGTAGAGTGCTAGCCTTGAGCTGAAGAGCTGAGAGACAGGCCCCAGGCCCAGAGTTCAGGCCCCACGATAGACAAAAAGAACAAAACAAAACAGAACAAAAAATATCACATAACTTCATTCTCACTTAAGCAACAGGTAAGACACTAACCTTAGCAAGGATTTTTTTGTTTTTTATGCCAGTATTAGGGCTTGAACTTGGGTACTGGGTGCAGTCCCTTAGCTCTTTTGCAAAGGCTAGCACTCTATCACTTGAGCCATAGCTTCACTTCCAGTTTGTTGTGATTAACTGGAGCTAAGAGTCACTTAACTTTTCCTGCCCAGGCTGGCTTTGAACAATGATCCTCAGCCTCTTGAGTAGCTAGGATTACAGGAGTGAAACACCAACACCCGGCTCCTTTTTTTTGTTTGCGAAATGGCAGGCCCCATTATTCAACCATAACTTTACTGGTTGCTCTTACTAGAAGGTAAGAACAACATCTTGCCAAGCATTTCCTGAACCTAACCATGCTCTATCTCCTTTGCTACTACCAGCTTTGAATGGGCCTATTGCAAAAGCCTCCTTTCCACTTGCCCACTAATCACGTCTGTTTACAATTCAGTCTCTGTGTCATCCTAAGAGTGGTCTTTCCAAAGCCTACTCCTGCAATGTGAAGCCTTTCAGTGTCACTTAGGTGTTTTTAAAATTGAATTTTATTGTCTTTAAGTAGTTGTACAGAAGAGTTACAATTCAACATGATAGTTTATGAGTAGAGTGAATCCTGACCAATGTAACTCCTTTACTCAAGAAGCTTTTAGCACAGTCTACAATCGTTTTGTATGTACCAGTGCTGGGGCTTGAACTCAGGGCCTCATGCTTTTGCTTAGCTTTTTCACTCAAGATTGGCACTTTACCACTGAGTCACACCTCTACTTCCAGCTTTTTGGTGTTTAATGGGAGATAAGTCTCATGGACTTCTCTGAACCTTCATACTCAGACTTCAGCATCCTGAGGAACTAGAATTAGCAGGTGTAAGCCACCAGCAACTGGCTACAGTCTATAACTTTTTAAATGTCTAAAGGTCTTTCCTTCCTTCCCTCCTCACTTTCAATTTCTCTCTTCCTTCTTCTGGAGACACCAACCATACCCTTTTGCCTCCTAAAGTACTATTCCTTTGCCAGAATCTCTTCTCTCTCTCTCTCCTACCTCTCCTCCTCTCACCTTAGTCAGCCCTTCCATCCACTCATCCTCTAGATCCCTGGTGCAGCTAGGTCCTCCTCATATACATCTATTGCATGCTTGCACTGCCCCTCTGTAGCCCTTAACAGAGCAGTCTCTTTGGAGTTATCTGTGTAGCATGGTAATGCCTGCTTTCTTAAGGCTCTAAGCTCCTGATGAGCATGGAAAGGCTTATCTTTCCCAATATACTACCAACTCCAAGTACAGTGCATGGCAGAGACAACACTGGATCAATATTCCTGAATGAGTGACTCAACCAGAACTCCAATAGTCAGACCACATCATGTCCAGAAGAGGGAAGGGCTGAGCTCTGCCTCCTCTTCACTAGCTCCTGAGATCTTTATAGAAACTGCAGCCTATCAAGCCAGGAGTTGGTAGCTCATGCCTGTAATCCTAGCTACTCAGGAGGCTGAGATCTGAGGATCGCAGTTCAAAGCCAGCCTGGGCAGGAAACTCTGTGACACTCTTATCTCCATTAAACTACCAGAAAACCGGAAGTGGAGCTGTGGCTCCAGCACTAGCCTTGAGCTGAAGAGCTAAGGGACAGCGCCCAGGCCCAGAGCTCAAGACCCAAAGTCGACCAAAAAAAAAAAAAAAGAAACTGCAGCCTGTACACAATAGCTTCAGTATAGTTAAAAATCCTTCCTTTCCAGAAAACTCCTGCTGCACAAAGAGCATTTGGATCTGTGAAAGCTACATAGGCACAGCCCTTCTGACATGAGAGAAAATACTATGACTTCCAGATGGCATCTGTTGTCTGAAAATGCTGATTTGAGTAGATTATGATTCCAAGCTCATGGAATAAAAGCAGTACATCTAGGAAATATCCACCAAGCCGGAAAGGCCGAGATTGTAGGCAGGCAGGGACAGAAAAAAAGCCCCACAAACACAGCTGTCAGAAACTAAGAAGCAAATGCACAACCCTCCTTTCTTACCAAGTACTGTAGGGTTCCCACAAAGGATGTACAAAGACTGCCTTGATCCAGTTCCTTGGCATATCCTAGGTCAATAATTTTGTGTATTAACTGGAAAAAAGCGTGGGGGGGGGGGAGAAATCCAAGAGTTATAAGAACACAAAAATAATCAACGTTATCCTTCAACAAAGGGTATTGGATTTGAATGCCTAAGAGGCATCACCTACACAGAACAATGCCATTAATATGGGGATTTAAAATAAGGAGGGAGGGAGGGAGGGGAGGGGAGGGGAGAGAGAAGGGAGGGGGAGAGAGAGAGAGAGAGAGAGAGAGAGAGAGAGAGAGAGAGTGTTCTCCTCCCTTCAACTGCGACAAAACAGCAGGTAGGCTAAAATTAATAGGCCAGACACTGACCCTCAATCTGGACTTCATAATGTGAGAGACTAGGCCAAAGCCTGCTCAGAAAATACTTTCAGTTGGCCGGGCACCAATAACTCATGCCTGTAATCCTGGCTACTAAGGAGGCTGAGATCTGAGGATCATGGTTCAAAGCCAGCCCAGGCAGGAAAGTCTGTGAGCATCTTATCTCCAATAAACCACTAGAAAACTGGAAGTGGCACTATGGCTCAAGAGGTAGAGTGCTCGCCTTGAGCTGAAGAGTGCAGGGACAGCACCCAGGCCCAGAGTTCAAGCCCCACGACCAACAAAAAAAAAAAAAAGAAAGAAAGAAAGGAAAGAAAGATAAAGAAAATACCTTCAGTTATAATCTGAAAACCAAATCAAGAACAAAGGTGGGCACTGCCAGTCACAGGTTGGACCTAGGATGCTGACAGAAGCTTAATCAGAAGAGATTAGTGATCTAGAAGCTGAGTTACTACATTCCACTCACCTGAGCTTGCTCATCACATCCAGCTGAACAAACAAGAGTGGGGAAAGACCATGGCATTCATAGAGAGGTTACTACTACATCTAAGCAACTGGACAATGAGGAGTTATGAGAGCTCTTGGAGAACTACAAATTGAATCAGGCAGAAGTAGGCAATTGCTAGCTCTAAGTGTCTTATCTCAAGCACACCTACAACCAGCTTACAGCTTTTAAAATAACTGAGAAGCAAAGTCTATTTCAAAATGTACTAGACTCAAAGGCAGAAGGTGGAGGTAGATCAACAAATATTATTTTCTTATCAAAGTCCTCCAACTGGGGCTGGGAAGGTGGCTCAGTGGTAGAGCAGTTGCCTTGTATGCAAGAGGCCCTGGGTTCAATTCCTCAGCATCACATAAGGAAAAAGAAAAAAGCCGGAAGTGGCACTGTGGCTCAAGTGGTAGAGCACTAGCCTTGAGCTGAAGAGTTGAGGGACAGTGCTCGGGCCCAGAGTTCAGGCCCCACGTCCAGACCCCCCCCCCAAAAAAAGTCCTCCAACTGGCTAACTTAACAATGTGATCCATTTCAAGCTTGCCCCAATCTACCAGTGAGACTTGCTGAATTCTGTTTCAAATCAAAATGCATTCCTAGGGAATCACAGAATGTCTCAAAGAATGCAAAGCTACAAAGGTATGGTCTACTAGAGGCAACCCCAAGACTCCTGAGCCCCAGGAAGTCACTCACTCTTTGTTCTCCTTGCTGTAGAACAATGTTTTCTGGCTTTAGATCCCGATGGATGATTCTGTTTTCATGAAGGTATCTAAGTGCAGAGGCTGAGGAAGTGCAAAGTGTGGTCAATTTTTTATTAAACCTAGAAAATGTTTCTCATTTCAGAACCTCCCATTTGTAAAAGTAGAGTGAACCTCTGAAAAGTGCTCTGTGACCTTTAGTGCATGAATTCATAGTGGAAGGAAGGGGTCTGGAGCAACTGCTCCTCAGGAGGAATGACAGTGACCTGATAAAGTAAGCAGAAGTTTAAACTACCTCAAGATTCTGGCTAATTCATGAAAAACATTCAAGGGGACTGGGGTGTGGCTTGGTGGTAGAGCATTTATTTAGTATCAACAAGGACCTAGGTTGATCCCCAGAAACACACACACACACACTCTCTCTCTCTCCCTCAGCTTTGCATCCATGAGGCCACACTAAGTGACCCACAGGTCTCCAAAGCCAGTAATTCTTAAACTGCATTGCCTAAAACAGCAGTATTTGAACTTGGAAATAAAAAATTGTTAGGCCTCACCCCAGTATCACAGTGATGATAATCTAAGACACCCTCTCAGAACTCTAAGCTCAAAAGTCTTAAGTTCCAGAGTGGGCAAGGGAGAAGGGATCTTTGGGTAGATCTAACTTCTCATTAAGGTTAGATACAAGGAAAAAGTGCAGGAAGGACAAAGCCAGAACACCTGCACTGACAGTATGCATATTAGTTACTGTATGTCCAGTTCTGGAAGACTCTGTGGGTAAATAACCATACAGCTCCACATTTTTTTTTTTTACTATGGTCCCATTTTGGGGATAAAGTCAGCCTATATAATCCTAGTAATGAGGTCATTTAATCTCCATAGCTCCTTCTGTGGAGAAAAATGTGAGATTGCACATGGAGGCCATAGCATAGAGCAACAGGGCCCAAACAGTAGCTCAGACTCTATTACAATTTTTATTAATAAGACAGATTTAATAACTTCAACATGAGCTAAGTATATTATTAAAGAGAATGATAGATTAAGTAATGGAAAGATATATCATTTAGAGATGGTATGACTGACTATATGCCTAGAGAACTAACAGACTAAAAACTGTAAAGAATTTAGAAATCTGGCTAGAGACAAAACATACATACATACATATATTTATATATGTATATATATATGTATTATATATATATTTATACAGATCAGTAGTTCTTTCCTGTGTCAGTTTAGCAGACTGTCACTTACATTAGCAACAATAATTCTAAACTCTACTACATGACAAGTTTAATGAGACAAACAAAAAGTAGTTAGTTAAGTGAGGAAAACAATATCACATAAAGAAAAGTAGCAGGGCACTGGGATATGGCTCAGTTGTAGAGTGCTTGTTTAGCATAAATGTCTGTCTAGCATCCCTATCACCAATCAATCAATCAATCAATCAATACTTTGCAAGTTAATGGTGAAGACACCACAAAACAAATGTCAAAAAGACAAAGAGGCTAGGAAAAATACCTACTACACATATGCCAACGAATAAACGTAAATATATTTAATACAGAAACAGCTTTTACAGGGGCTGAGAAGGTGGCTCAGTGGTAGAGTGCTTGCCTTGCATGCATGAGGCCCTGGGTTCCTCAGTACCACATAAGCAAACAGAAAAAAGCCGGAAGTGGCGCTGTGGCTCAAGTGGTAGAACGCTAGCCTTAAACTGAAGAGCTGAGGGACAGTGCCCAGGCCCAGAGTTCAGGCCCCACGACCGGACCCAAAAAAAAAAAAACAACAACTTTTACAGGTCCTTAAAAGTATAACCCAGTTTAAAAAAATAAGCAGAAAAAGTTTAGGGATATTTTATAAAAAAAGAAAATGAGTGGTAAACAAGTGAAAAGCTGCTCATTCTCACTAGTAGTAAAAACTGCAAATGAAAGTAGCAATTCTTTTTTTAAACCTCTTCAACTAGTAACAACTTTAAATGAAAGAGGGAATGCTTCTACCTTGCTGGAAGGTGTCTAAATGGGGATGCAGTTGGAGAAAGTAATATGACATTATCTATTAAGTTATAAAAAGTATACAAAGGTTTGTTTTTTGTTTTTCTGGGGGGTCCGGTTGTGGGGCCTGAACTCTGGGCCTTGGCGCTGTCCCTCAGCTCTTCAGCTCAAGGCTAGCGCTCTACCACTTGAGCCACAGCGCCACTTCCAACTTTTTTCTTTTTGCTTATGTGGTGCTGAGGAATCGAACCCAGGGCCTAATGCATGCAAGGCAAGCGCTCTACCACTGAGCCACCTTTCCAGCCCAAGTATACAAATGTTTAACCCAAAGGTTTGACTTCTAGAAATATGCTAAAAAGTTGAAAGCATTATAAGATACATATAAGGATACTTAATATATAACATAGAGTAAAGTAACTCAGTTGATAACTCAGCTAGACAAATTATAGTACAGCTACATTATAATAGACAATTCTTCATAATAACTTAGGTTTATAGTTTCTGACTCAGAAGGATGTAGGTGATTCGATGATACATTACCAAATAAATGGTGTGACTATTTTTTGGTTTTTGTTTTTTTGCCATGCTAGAGACTGAACTCAGAACTCATGCAACTGGGCAAGCACTCTATGAATTCAGCCATGGTTCTAGTCCTGAGCATGTATTTTATTAAAAAGAAAAGACTCTGAGTTCAAACCCCAATACTATCAAAAACAAGAACAAGAACAAGAACAACACACACACACACACACACACACACACACACACACACACACACACACACACACACACACACACACACACACACACACACACACCCCAGAGGAAGAAACAAAAGCACCAAGAAATGTTTAATAACAAGCTGCCTTTCCCCTCCCTGACAAATATATACACACCCATACATACACATACCCACAAACAGATGGGTAAAACACACAAAAACATACGTATACAATTCCTCCTCAACCCCCCTTGCGCATGTTTTTCTTATTCTGGGCAGGCCAGACTGGAAGCTAGGGAAGGCAACCAGGGAGGTGAGTCCTGCAGGTTTGTGTGGCCAGTCCTGTCTACTCTCATCAGCAGAAACACTGAATGGGGTAGAAGAAAAGCTGCCACAGAAGTTAAGTGATCAGGTTTGCTTTGGAAGACTTTGAGCTGGATATTTCCTAAAAATGCATGTGAAAGTCAAACCCAGAGAACTAAGAATGACATTGTACTTTACTAGAGGAGTTCTAGCTCAGAACATTAAGTCATATTACAAAACTATCTAGTTCTATTTATTTAAAAATATTGTTACTGCAAAAGGGATGTACAGAGGAATTAGAGTTACCCAAGTCGAGAGTACATTTCTTTGTTGGACAATGACACCATCTATTTACTCTTTAAACTCAGCTTTTACCAGCACAGTTCGAACATTTCAAACTTGCTCCTTACTTTCTTTTATTTCATAAACCACTCAATAATTGGATTACGTTTAACTACTCCTCAAAGAAGCCAAAGACTTGCTGCTTTCATGTATTCAAAGAATTCTACTCTATCTTGTCCTCAACTATACTGACTTCTAAAGTCAGATGCTTCATAACAGTGTATCATCATTAGTGTTTTACCCATTTTTATAACAGAACACAGCAAAAGAAAAACAGAGCAAAGAAAAAAAAAACAGAGCAAAGAGTAATAAAACTAATTAAAACTACACTCATATGACCTTTCACACAAGATGGCATTGCTAATTAATTTCAACTACTGGTTGGCAGGGAATAAGGCCATGGAATAATTTTTGAAGTGTTTCTTCACCAATAGATTCACAAAAGATGCATTTTGCTTTATTGACAAACTGTTCAACGACACTTGGATATAGCGTGTAAACACATATGTTTCAGAGTGGAACACAAAAGTTGAGACACATTGTTATTTGAACAAGTACATGTGCCAAGACTAGGACATTGTCCTGAAGATACCAGTACAGTATCTTAGGGCAAATAACATGGCAGGTGCAGGGGAGGTTATCCAAGAAGCTCTGGTAAGGAGGAGCATATTCTGAGAAGCACTTGAGTCTCTAGGCCAGATTAAGAGCTGTAACCAGACTTCTAGAGAGGTTGAATGGCAAGTTCATAACCAAAATCCACTGGTGACTATAAAGACGTGTTTATTTTTATATGTAAACATCTGTATGTAACAAATTTTAGTCCCTATCTTTGGGGTGGCCATTAATTCTCAAATATTTCTGTCAACTCACTAACTAAAGTCTGGAATTAAAGAATTCTGACAGGCACAGTTATAGTTTCTTGGACTGAGTTGACTCTACAATGACTGAAACAGCAGAACTTCTACAGGCAAGTTCTACTAAAGACACATAAATTTCATTTCTAATATACCAATCACAGAAATGAGCTGGTGAATGTGCTTGCTCTGAGTAAACTATTAGACTGGAGTGTAGTTTAGTGGCAGACACTTGGATAACTTGCTGTGATCCTGGGCTGTCTCCAGCATAGCATTAAAGACTATGCACATCATGTTTCAGGATGGATACTGCCCAGACAGAGTCCACAGGTAGAAGCTGCTGTGGGAAAGTAACAGCCACATCCTTGTCAGGAACAGCACCCACTGCTACTTTGGCTCTACCTCAGTTTAGGAGATATATAACAACTCTGTGGTCTTACTATGGAACTGGAATTTCATAGCTGGTGTATTTTTCAGATGACAAACCTATGACAAGTTAGGAAACAGATGCAAGCAGCTAGGTTTCAAATCCAAAAAAATGTGGCAAGGACTGTGTCTATTAATCCCTACTTACCTACTCTACACATCTCAGGCGTTCATTGAGCTAGCTCCTTTCAGTATACTTGTTTGAAATACATTCCACCAAGAAGAAATGGAACAAAATGGACCAAGACTTCTGGACAGAGCTTAAAAGAAAATGAAAAGGCAAAAATAAATGGGTGGTCCAATTTACCATGGAATAAAAAAGCAACAGGATGTCTGTGTCCTCAATTAAAACTGACTTCATGCCTACTACATGCTAGCCAGTTTGTGTCACTGGACTTTCCAGGCGAAACAGGCAAGAAGGCCAACTAGACATGTGGAGAAAGACTTAGTCTAGCTCAAGGTTTCTTGCTATTATAGACTCTGTG